TCTGGGATAAGGTCTAGGACAAATGGGATGTTAAGGTCATGATGTAGGGTTTTGTTGGATACATAGAAAGGAGCATCGACTATTGTTCGAAGGACTTTAGACTGGAAGGATTGGATGCGCTTGATGTTAGAAAATTTTGCTGATCCCCAAAGTTCTAGTCCGTAAGTCCAAATAGGTTTCAGTATTGTCTTGTAGATCAGTAGCTTGTTTTCAATGGAAAGTTTAGATTTTCTGCTTAGTAGTCGGTATAGTTGGCCGTACAATAAATCTTAAGCTAAATAATCTAGCCTGTTAGGTTTTTTTTTTTTGGTTTTTAGTTTTTTTAGAAACCACATCCCAATAAATATTTTAAAATTTCAAAACCATAATAGTTCACTTTTATACAGGGTGTCCCGTAAGAAAAGAAGGATTAAAATCACTGGAAGTTTGATTATAGTTCGAGCGGCTAAAAAAGGATTCTCAGTTATATTTTTGATGAAATCTTTGATTATTCACGAAATTTCCAATCCCTCTAATTATAGTTACTCGTCCGTTAGAAAAGAAACTTCCATCGTATATACAGGATGATCCGTAACTAAGTGGAAATATTAACAGGATGATAACTGACCACAAGAGGTACAAAATGTTTCTATAAATAACCATTTTCCAAATGTACGAAATTGAGATTTTGTATGTTTTTAAGAAAGCTGGTGTAGAATATGTATTATAAAAAATAAAACACAACCTCTGTTCAATAATTTTATAGATCGTTATATATGGCTCTCACCGTCTGACATATTTCTTTTCTGTTGAACTTAGTTGTCACTGACAATAAGTATAATACCGTGCTAACTAATTATAACAAAAATGTGTGATATATGTTGTGTATCGTATATTTTCATTATTTGAGTATGATATGCCATATTTAATATGATAATATTTTGTATGAAATTCGTTATAATTTGGTTTTTAGTATTTTTTTTTCCTTTTTGTCTCTCTAACACAGCATCTTGTCTAGATACAATTTTGAAATGTTGAACATTTCCCTCGCTTATACTATGCAGGTCCGATTTTTAGTTTCTGATATATTTTAATATAATTAAAAAAATCACCACTACTCACAAAAGAAGTGTAAACTGCGCCTAAAGAAGTTCTTACTTAAAAATGGCAGAAAAGTATATTCAAATAGTGAATGTTCTATAGTAAGTAGTCACTACGGATTCCAATTCGCTTTGTTTCTATTGTAAGGATGTTAAATCTTATGAATTATAAGTCTCAATACATGAATTCATGCTTATTACCAGTCATCGTCAAAATATACTAAAATTATTATGTTTGTTTAAAATACTTTTGAAGATAAATACTTAAAAATACATGTCAAGAAACATAGAGCTCAATCATCTCATAAAGTGGCCCACACTTCCTTTATCACAAATATGAAATTCTGGTTTTAAGACACAAAGATAATGGAAAAATAAGAATGGAAAATGAGGAAAGGAATAATAGGTTTATTTACATCCCTTTTTGTAACAGAGTTAGTTATGTGTCCTTTGAGGGTGTGCCGTCCTATAATTGAGTAGTAGGAAGCAATGAATAATAAACTAGGAGAGGTTTTTTTCTTTATTTGTATGTTTATTTTTATCTACATTTTACCCTCACAACTGTATACCATTAATATAATGTGTTACCTGAATACGATTTAACGATTGCAACCAAATTTTGTTCATTTATGACGTGGCTCTAGAAGTCAAGAAAAAAATAAATGTTTTTTTTTTGCCTTTGCGTTTCCTGAACTTCAGGTTAAGATGTATCAATCGATTTCCCATTTTTCACAAAATAAGAAAAAAATATTTAATATGGTAATAAATTATTTATAATGTATTATATATAAGAAAAAAACAAAAGGCGTTTCCAGTAAAAGAGACCAAGTAAGTTTTTGTTATGAATGTGCCTTCAACCACATCTGTCATACATGTGAGAATCAGCTATAGTGTTTTTGAATCGTTTTGAAAACCAAACCCGAGGAAGCAGTAACCAAAAGCATTCTTCTCTTTATTTGTTTAAATCATTAATTTAAGAGCATTTTATATTAGTTTGAAAATTTTAGATTGAAAGTATTGCAGTTTTTGTAGGTGCATCTTTTTACTTAACTAGGTATAAACTTTTTTTTATTTACAGTTGTCATAATGATAATGACAACCAATGAATGAGATGATCTATTGCAAAATATAATGGCATGAGGGGAGACCAGTGGCGCCTCCTCTTAGCGTGATATCTACATTAGGCGATGAGGTCCCTCATCCAGCTCCTCTTCAGCCTCCTACAGACGTTACCTGGCATATCCGTAGTGACCATTTCATTTATGAGTGCGTTAGAATGTCCTTGTAATTGGTCGAGGAATCATTTGTAATGAGTTCGTATGTGTTCGTTAAAAGTCGGCACATGAAGGTCAGTATGCAAGGTTATGTTGCTAACGCACCAAGGTGCTTTTGTAATTTTCCTTAATGTTTTCTATTGAAAGATTTTTTTTTATTTATAATTTCATTGAAATTTACAACTGTATTACATTAAAAATACAACAGGTAAATGTGACATTGGTAACATGACATGTAAAATATGAAGAGAAACTACCCATTGGTAGAACTCAAATTAAAGTTCTATATTAGAAGATCCAGAGGCCATGTTCTTTTCAGACGCCTCGGAGGGTTATCAGAGATAGAGGAGGAAGCAATGTTTGAAACAAGAGGGTTCGGATGGTTCTGCAGTTTGTTATGGAAGGGTAGGTATCTGGATTGGGCCAAATCGGAAACATATGGAACATTAAGGTCTTTATGGATGATTTTGTTTGTGACAAAGTAAGGAGCGTTGAGGATTTTACGAAGGATTTTGGATTGTAAGGATTGGATACGAGAGGAATTCGATGGCTTAGTGGAGCCCCAGAGCTCAATTCCTTAGGTCCAAACAGGTCTTATTATTGTCATATATATGGGTCGTTTGTAATTGAGTGAAAGCTTAGAGCGTTTGTCTAGTAAGTGTTGGAGTAGTCAGAAACGTCGAGCGGTTTCTTGTCGTTTCAGTCTTGTATGAGGATTCCATGTGAGTCGTTTGTCGAGGTGGAGTCCTAGGTAACGAATTTGTTCAACTGGGATAAGTGGGGAATTGTTAAAGAATACTGTAGGACAGGAGGTCATAGGTTTGCGACGCAGGGTAAAGGTAATTTGATGGGATTTATTGGAGTTTATTTTAATCCTCCAGTTTTGACACCATTCTTCAAGATTTGTGATGTGTGATTGGAGAGTTTGGGATGCAATTGATGGATCGTTGTTAACTCATAGAATACACGTGTCATCGGCATAGGTTAGTCCAAACAGGTGTTAGTAAATAATTGTTTGTTCAATTTCCTGTATAAGTTTTAGTTTTGAATGTTTCGAAAGAAGTGAATTCAGAATACTTAACTTTTGATTTAGCGTTTTTCTTTTATTAATTATTTTTGAGCCCCACGTCATTTTTCGGTCAAATGTCAGACCAAGGTAGTGAACGGATGTCTGTAAAATCTGTGTATTGTCAAGGAAAACTAGAGGTCATGTTTCATTTCGAAGGGTAAATGTGATGTGCTGTGATTTAGTCGGATTTTCCAAAGTCAGGTTATCTTGTTTAATATTGTTGTACGGTCCGTGAGGCGCATGTTGGATTTTTGTGTCTTGCTAAAATTGCTGTGTCGTCTGCATATGTCGCTGATAAAATGTTGGGACTGCAAGGTATGTCATGGGTCTATGTGATATGAAGTAGTGGAACGAGTAACGAACCGTTTAGTACTCCTGCTGAGATAGACCAGATAGAAGACAGTTCTGACCCGTGTCGGACGGAGAAAAATCTGTCGGAAAGGGAAGATAGTATCTAGAATTAAATAGTAGGTAGCCGGAAGTATTGTCTTAAATTTAAACAGAAGAATCTGATACCAAACTCTGACTATCGCTTGAGCAACATCCAAAAATACTCCAGTTGCATATACTTTCTGCTCTAGTGCTGTACATAGTCGGTAATTCTATATAGTTGGTGTATAGTTGAGTGATGTGTCCTAAATCCAAATTGATGGTCAGCTTTATTTGTGTGTTTGCTATTATATCAACAAGTCTTTTGTGTAGTAAGCTTTTGAAAATTTTAGAATAAGTGGGTAGTAAGCTAATTGGTCTGTACGAGGAAGGTGAGTAAAAACTTACCTTCCTCAAAAGTCCTTGTTAGGCCAGTGGATCATTGTCGTATGTGAGTATTTCCATATTAGTGGAAATTTAGTTGTCTTCAGTATTGTATTATAAATAGTTGTCAAAAACACTAGAGCATTCCTCTGCATTTGTAGGAACACTTCAGCGTTAATCTAGTCAAGTCCAGGAGCTTTCCTTTTAGGCAACTTGTTGATTTCTTCAGCAATCTGGGAACGTGTGAAGGAAATAGGAGGTAAAGTTAGTTGAAGGGGTACGTCTAAAGTGTTTAGTACATTGTTATCGTGCACAGTGTTAGTGAAGTCTGTGTGTGGTATAAATACAGAAGAAAGGTATTCGGCAAAAAGTTCCGATTTTTCAAGTCACGGCTCAGAAATCATCTCTTGATCAGAAATCATCTAGGGGTGCTGACACCACACTATGCTTAGTAAGGATATCGGTATGACTCCACAAGCTTTCATCGTCGGTTGAGAGATTTCTGATGTAGCTGTTCTTTTGAATTTTCCAAGCTGACGCTTGAGTTCATTATTAAGTCTGTTGTAAACGTATTGAGGATATGTACCCTCAACTATAAATCTGTGGCGCTATAATAAAATACTTTTGATTCAAATTTAGCTCATAATTATACTTATTATACTTTTATTTTTTTCAATTTCTGAACAAAATGATTTGATGTCCAATTGATATTTCTCAAGTTCTTGATTTCTAATACGATAAATGATCCATCAGCCAAATCAATAATATAGGTCAAGTTGGATTGTTGAATTGAAATAAGTGAGGCAGAGGAACCACGACCCCTGAATGAAGACACCATTGTTATCTCGTGAATCGGAACTCAATGAATCCCGAATTGGGTAGGATCCTGTTCAGTCGACCCCAAATGATTGATAGAGCTGCGGAGTTAGGTGGGAATTGGAGTTAGTTGTTCCAACCAAAAGTCTCAAGTTGATCTTCAACAAGTTTCCAACTAAAAGGGCTAATGTTTTAATTTCCTCTTTTGTTCCAAACTAAACTTGTGGTCTTAAAAGTTCTTTAAGACCTTTATCCTGTCAGTGATTGGAGAAGAAGTATTGATTCAAAGAACTAAGCTAGTGGATGCACTGACATAAAAATAATGTGATGAGCCTTAAAATTTATTCATCGAATCCACCGAGAAATAAATGTTAATAAATCAGAAAAATTAATCTAAAACCAACTCACGCCCCACTTCCCCTCATTCCTTCCTTTAGTAGCAATAACTATTAAAACAAATAATTTAAATTTGAAGTTTTAACACACTTTAACATGAATATAGATGTATTCATGCACCAAGAGAGAGATGCCAGGACGTTGACTAAAGATTGGTTTTATTAAAATCTAAATTTAAAATAAAATACAAAGGTACATTACGTATTATTACCGTTCATTATAAAACATTATGAAAAATAATAATACACTACATATTATTCCTAATTATAATTATTTAATATTTTTATTTCATACTTTGTAAATGAAGAGGTATGATTTTAGAGGTAAATTTAATAATTGACGGGAGTTCACACAAATTTTTCGTGGAGTCTCCTACGTTTCTCTCCACAGCTCTGAGTTTGTCTGGCATTAAAAAGATATAGATCACTTATTAATTTTTACTCGTGTATTAAAGGTGGATTGTCTTACAAGTTGAAAAGCTATTCTAATCAAGATATATATTACTAAATAAAATTATATTCTGTAATGTCAAATTTGAGCTTACCAATGCTGAAAACTTAAAATGTCTGGAGTTTTCCTTCTTGAAGCTGGTCAATATGTCGGTGCATCTGGGGATATAATATCTAATGAAAGCTTATGCATAGCAGCCCTTATATTTCTTTCTACAGTTGTACTTAACACTGATTCCCAAAATTGGTGCTTTGCTTTAAATTCAGTACCCACAATAAAGCAACGCCCAAGTCTGAAGATGTTCATACGTACCTCGGAGGACTACACTTTTAAATTGCAAAATTAAAATTACAACAATATAAAATATATAATCCAAAGATTTTATACAAATTAAATGTTATATCCTGATAAGACGAGATAAATTCTAATTTATAACAATGCAAAAGCCGAATCTATGAAACCAATACCATATTTTAGCAAATTTTACTCAGTACCATTTTTATTTTTGATCTCGTAGCCAACAAGCCCTGTTACCTTGGAGTATTAATAATGAAGAAAAATCATGGGATCGGCTATTAACGAGATTTCTTTGTGAACATATATGAACTTAAAGGCTTAATGGTAATTTGTTTAGCCATTAAGGAGATAAACCTATGTATTAATGAAAAACAAATACCTAATGCAATTTATACAGCGAATCAATTCATACATTTTATGGAAAAATCACCTGACCTTATTCTCTGTAGACTGTAAGCTCAATCTTGATTGGCGATTTATGAAAGCAAGAAAAAGTAAACAAGAGGGAACAAAAGAAGAATGCAGAGCCAATCAAGAAGGATCATGGAACGGAAAAGCCAAATTACCGCTACGTGACCCAGCCTCCAAGTACTTACTTCCGCTTGTCTTACTTCTTCATCATCGATTTAGGCAACCATCGTCATGATAACGTGGGTATATGTATGAATATATTGAAGGGGGGAGGGTACGAAAAGAACATGCTATGGTATCGATATCAATAGAATAATAGCTAGTAAATTTTAAGTTAGGAAAGCAACACTGTCATCACCACCTATGCCGATGACACGTGTATCCTATCAGTTAATAACGATCCATCTATTGCATCCCAAACTCTTCAATCACACATCACAAGCCTTGAAAAATGGTGTCAAAACTGGAGGATTAAAATAAATTCCAATAAATCCCATCAAATAACCTTCACTCTTCGTCGTAAACCTATGACCTCCTGTCCTACAGTATCCTTCAACAATAGCCCTATTATCCCTGTCGAAAAAATCCGATACTTAGGACTCCACCTTGACAAACGACTCACTTGGAACCCCCATACAAGACTGAAACGACTAGAAACCGCCCGACGTTTTCGACTACTGCAGCACTTACTAGACAAACGATCTAAGCTTTCAATCAATTATAAACGACTCGTATATATGACAATAATAAGACCTATTGGGACTTACGGAATTGAGCTTTGGGGCTCCACTAAACCATCGAATTCCTCTCGTATCCAATCCTTACAATCCAAAATCCTTCGTAAAATCCTCAACGCTCCTTACTTTGTCACAAATAAAATCATCCATAAAGACCTTAATGTTCCATATGTTTCCGATTTGGCCCAATCCAGATACCTGTCCTTCCATAACAAACTGCAGAACCATCCGAATCCTCTCGTTTCAAAGCTTGCTTCCTCCTCGATCCCTGATAACCCTCCGAGGCGTCTGAAAAGAAGATGGCCTCGGGATCTTCTAATATAGAACTTTAATTTGAGTTCTACCAATGGGTAGTTTCTCTTCATGTTGTACATGTCATGTTACCAATTTCAAATTTACTTATTGTATTTTCTATGTAATACAGTTGTAAATTCTATTAAAATAATAAAATAATAAAAAAATAAAAAAAATATAAAGTTAGGAAAGTTAAAGGTAAACTAGTTGAAAGAAAGTAATTTTTGGAGTATCTCACTTGATAGGGTTGCTAGATTACGTTCAAATCATCTGAAATATAACATCTTGTTTTTTAAAGTGTACTGTGTCGTTTCAATTTTAGTATATGTACCGCCGAACCGAGAAAAATCCCAGAAAAATTCTCTAAATTTCACCAGAACCTTACGTATCAACCAAATCCTCTTGCACAATCCCTATCAATCACCACCCATCCCTATAATCCTCCAAGAAGGTTGAAACGGCAGTGGCCACGGCGACATTTAGTAGATTGTATATATTGGAGTTCTAGCAATGGCTAGATTCTCCATTCAAGACATGAGTGTATGTGGTTAAAGTGCTCTCGATCAATCTCCGCTGGCTTTAGTACCAGTGATGCGGTTGAGAGAGTAGCACAGGGTTCTTCTGGAGTCCAGTTTTCCCTCCACAGTCGGAGGGACAAGCTGTTCCCTTTTAGTTCCCTCGCCTGATTATAAATAGTGTATATAGGTATGCATGTGTTTTTTTGATAGTTTTAATTTTCTTATTTTTAGGTTATTTTATATTATTTATGTTATTTTATAATTATTTTATTATTATTTATTGTTATTTTGTTTTTATTTATTTTATATTTTGTGTACATATTGTTTGAATGTTATCCTACCTCACTGTAACTAATTTCCAAGTGATAGATTGTCACTCAATAAATGCATAAAAAATTATACTGATTTTTTTTTTTTTTATCAATAATTCGTTAGTTGATAGTTATTTCAATAACAAAAGGTTACATACACACTTAAATTGTCTCGGTTAAGTTTTTTACTTCAATTGATGATTGCTAAATTTCATTATGCCTAACTGTGCGGGGATATTGTCATATTTTATACGCTTGCTGTCGTGGTATAATATGTGACTAAAAAAAAAAAAAAATCTTTATATAATATTAAAGTGTCAAGATAGAGAAAAAAAAAGGGATTGAATGATGCTAGTAAACCTTTCCCATATTGTAAATAAGTGGAATTTATAAAGAATTTCATGTCTTATGATATTTGTTCTATTGAGAGTATGTCTGTCAATTATTCATTGTTAATAGTTATGCCCTCAGTATAAAACACTTATAATGAAAATTCCGTTATTGAACCTAGTTTATTTTTTTATTAACTTTATTGTTTCACTCACTCCTGTCGGAAGTTCCAATGAGTGTGATGAAGAAGATTGGAACAAGCGTTGGAATAGGCGTGAGTGAGAGGGGTGTCCAGTGGCGTCCTCTCTGTCTTGATTTTAACATTTGTAGTTGGTGGAGAAGATCCCTCATCCAGCTTCTTTAGAGTCTCCTACGGGTGCTATTTTTTGCTCTTGTATACCTATGATATACATTAAAGCCATTTAATATTCTTGTAATAGTTTTATTGCTTATTCTTTTCCTTAAAGTTTAGGATGTTTCACCTATATATATATATATATATATATATATATATATATATATATATATATATATATATATATATATATATATATATATATAATCTTGGAAAAATACACGTACCCAAGTCCTATCACTGCTGTTAGGGCAAAAGACTATATGTAAAAGTTGAGCGTTTTAGAGGAGAGAAAAGTACTAATCATTTCTTTATGATTTATTAGTATAATTTCATATTTAACTTCTCTCTAGTACTTTACATAGTAGAAAACTATTTATAGCTATTTCAGACTGAAACGTATCCTGAAAACACTCAAATATTACATTTGACCTTTTAATATTTTATGATTATAAGGTATTCAAAACTGTGTCAATTCTCTTACGTTTTTTTTTTCTATCCTTCTTTGCATTTAGGCTACATGAGGTTTTCTCGAGCCGGGGGACGGGGCAGATTATGCCGAGTTAAAAGTCCCAACAGCCACCGGGATTTGAGCTTGTAATCATTTTTCCATCACTAAATACAGTTATCAGGTTGCTAAGCTGTGCACGCGCGTTAGCCCGCTTGGACACCCCACCCCCTCAACATAAAAATGTTAACCTGTGAATGTTTTTTTATAAATATTTCTTATTTATATATATTTTTATATGAAATTATTATCTAATAACAACTAAATCTTCCCTTTACAGGATGGAGACGCTGTATACGAACAGGCTGCACGGGTTCCCCAACCTCACGGCAGGCCAGTTCGGCCCCGTGCCAGAGGAAGGAGTCTTATCCTTAGTCGTGGTCCTGGCTACCAGCGTCTCTCTGGTAGCTCTGGTCTTCGCCTTCATAACTTACAGGTGAGCTACTATAAATTGTTGTCATGTTTAATTAATCAATTTACCAACTCACGGATTTACTCGAGGATATGAAATACCTTTTTATTATTCATGCATAAATGTTACTCAATTCGACCAGTGTTAGCAGGAGTACCTCAAGGATCAATACTGGATCCTTTACTCTACATTATATATACCTATGACATATCTATCAGCTCCGAAACATTGATCGCCACCTACGCTGATGATACAACAATTTTAACAAAACACAATAATCCCAGACAAGCCTCACTGAATTTACAAAATCATTTACTGACTTTACAAAATTGGCACTCACTTTGGAAAATAAGATTAAATCATGACAAGTCACAACATATAGCATTTTTACTTCGATGATTAACGTGCCCACCAGTTTATATAGGAGAGAACTAAATTCCTCAGACAACGTGACCTGGGACTAATATTCGACAGAAGGATGACCTGGGGCCCAGACGTCAAAATGAAACAACAGACCTTAAACAAGCGACTGAAAATACTGTTCTCACTCTTTTCTAAATCGAAATTGAAAGTTCGACAAAAACCAAATACGTACCCTTACCTCCTCAAACCTATCTGCACATACGCCTCTCAGATTTACGGTTCGGCAAAAAAAACGCACTTGCAAAAACTACAGTCATTTCAATCCAACATTTCACGACTTATGACAGGAGCTCCCTGGTCCGTTAACAACAAAACTTTACATAACGACTTACGACAACCAACTATAGGCCAACACATACATACTCTCTACTCTCGTTTTTATCTCAAACTACACGGACACACAAACAGACTTATAAACGACATGGCTACGACTGACATGCCCATCAGGAACAGACTAAAAAGGAGCTGGATGAGAGATCTCCTCGCCTAAATCAAAGTAATCACCAGAAAGAGGTGCTGCTGGGTACTATCCTTCCTCATGCCTATAATGCCAACCTCATTATGCCAACTACACATCTGCTGATAGTCAATACGATGATAGGTGCGGATAAACAGTTAAAGATAAAAAAAAATATATGAGTATAAATAAATTAGATATTTTTTTATTTATTCATTTTTACTAACTTTATTTTTCAACTCACATCTGTCAGAAGCTCCGACTATCACCCAGTGTGATGTTGAGATGTACAAGATTAATAGGTCTTGGAATAGGCGTGAGGGAGAGGAATATTCAGCCGAATCCTTCCTGTCTTAAATTCAACATGTTTGTAGTTATTAAAGGAGATTCCTCATCCAGCTTCTGTTAAGCCTCCTTCGGGTGCTATCAGGCAAGTTAGTTGTGTCCATGCTTCGAATCAATGAGTTGTTATGTTCGGGTAAGTTATTATGAAATCTTTTTTAGTATGTTCGTATGTGGTCGTTACCTGTTGGTCTTTAAGTAAAGAATGGTTTCCACATATCAAAAACAAAACAAAAACTCTAAACCTAAGACTACGACTATTGTACTCACTCCTTACAAGACATTCTAAATTAAAACTTAGATAGAAATTGAACACGTATACTTACCTACTTAAGCCCATTTGGACCTACGCTCCACAAATATACGGGACAGCCAAAAAGACTCAAATGAGTAAATTACAGACTTTTGAATCAAAAACTTTCAGGGCTATCACCTGGTACATCAGTATGAACTGGTGGTACACCCGTATCATTACTTTATATAAAGACCTACAGATGCTAACAGCTAATGACTACATACGAACATACTTCAAAATATTTCACAATAACTTACAAGGACATACAACTCATTGATTCGAGATATGGCCACAATTAACATGCTCGATATCACCCGGAGGAGGCTTGAAAGAAGCTAGATCAGGGATCTCCTCCTCAAACTATAAATATTAAATTCAATACAGGATGAACGCCGCTGGGCATTCCTCTCCACTATACCTATTCCAAGACCTATTAATCATGTATATCTCGACATCACACTCGCTGATTGTCGGAACTTCTGAAAGGTATAAGTTGAAAAAATTGAAGAAGGGACACTTTTTATTTTTATAAAAACGGAAATTACTCTGAAAAAAAGGAATTAAAGCTACTTATACGAAATGATATTTTAGTGATTCTTTAGCAAAAAACAAAAAATAGATACATTTTTTATATTTTTCTTTAAACATGATAGGAATTATAATTTAAAAAGGGAATATAATATATTACTATAGTATAGTGATTGCTTAGATATTTAGCTTACACCACGGACCATAACAAATATGGATGGTTGTAAAAAAATATATTATTTTTCCATTTTCGGTTTATCCGTAAATTCTATAGAATACATTAGTTCTGTATAAGGTGCTGCTCATTAATATGCAGTGTAATATAGAAAATTTAAAGAGCAACCTTCTCTACAAAACAAATTTATTTTAATTTTAAATTATTAGAATATCAAGAAAAATCACAGCACATCACATTTACGCTTCGACATGAAACATGTCCTCCAGTTTTCCTTGACAATACACAGATTCCGCAGACAGGCACCGTTCACTACCTTGGTCTGACATTTTACAGAAAAATGACGTGGGGCCCACATATAATCAAGAAACGAAAAACGTTAAATCAAAGATTAAGAATTCTGAGTTCACTTCTTTCGAAAAATTCAAAACTAAAACTTAGACAGAAATTGAACACATACAATTACTTACTAAAACCTATTTGGACTTACGCATCACAGATATTTGGAACTGCAAAAAAGACTCACTTAAACAAACTTCAAATCTTTCAAGCAAAAACATTCAGAACAATTACAAAAGCACCTTGGTACGTTAGCTAAATAACCTTATATACTGACCTCCATATGCCGACTGTTAACGAACACATACGAACTCATTACAAACGATTCCATGACAACTTACAAGGACATGCTAATACACTTATAAATGACATGGCCACTACGGAAATGCCAGGTAACGTCTATAGGAGACTGAAGAGGAACTGGATGAGGGACCTCCTCGCCTAATGTAGATATCACGCCGAGTGAGGTGCCGCTGGTCTCCTTACTACTACTACTGCTCTCTTTCATGGCATTATATTTTGCAATCGATAATCTCATTCATTAGTTGTCATTATCATTATGACAAGAGTGAATAAAAAAATCTATACCTAGATAAGTAAAAAGATGCACCGACAAAAACTACAATATATTCAATCTAAAATTTTCAAACTAATATCAAACGCTCTTAAATTAAGGATTTAAACAAATAAAGGGAAGAATTCTTCTGGGTACTACTTCCTCGTGTTTGGTTTTTAAAACGATTCAAAAATTCTTTAGCTGATTCTCAGATGTATGACAGATGTGATTGAAGGTCATATGAAGCGAACATTCATAACAAAAACTTACTTGGTCTCTTTTACTGGAAATGCCTTTTGTTTTTTTGTTATATATAATACATTATAAATAATGTATTACCATAGTAAATATGTTTTCTTATTTTGCGAAAAATGGGAAATCGGTTGATACATAATAACCTAAACGTCCAGGCAAACCAAAGGCAAAAATAAATAACATACATTTTTTTCTCGACTTCTAAAGAAAAGTCATAAATGAACAAAATTTCATAACTGAACCTCGAACTGCCTTTCATGACATCACAATCGACTTTTCCAATCGACCTCACATTCACTGGTTGTCATTACCCACTATGACAGGTGTGAATAAAAAAATTAAAGCAAAAAAAAATTTATGATATATATATATATATATATATATATATATATATATATATATATATATATATAATCGATGAATAGTTAGTTAATGTAGAATGAATGTTGTATAATTATTATATAAAAAAGATAATATAACTGTAGGAACAATTTTTCTTCCAGAGGTGATTTAGACAGAGCAGGATCTGACCCAAAGCGTTGAAAATAGAATAAAAATAAAATATACAATGAGTTAAAAAAAAAGAAGAAATCTTTTCATAAAACATCCGTTTAATTTATAATTTGAGCTTAAAACGAAGTTGAAATGTTTCAGGTAACATTTTGGTTTATTTTTCTAAATGTAACTATGAACAAAACCATGAAAGCTCAAAGTTGTTCTTATTACTGAAGAACCATTATCTTTAGATTCATGTTTAAAAATATTTAATATACAACCTGTAGTGAATCAAGTACCTCAGACCGTGACTATAAATTCCAGTTCAATACGGATAGAAAATTTTATATTTTATAAATGCTAATCTAATGACGACCGATCTTTTATTCCACTTTAAAAAAAAAAAAAAAGAATCCGTCAGTTTTATTTATGAGCCCTAACGATTCACCGGTCCGACCAATAAGACTATTCAAGTTATATTGCTGAGCCCTCAGATAAAAAGGAATCAGAGGTTGTCAGGGGAAAGTACGATAGGTTCACTTTTGGTAAGGGCTGAATTAGGGCGAGACGTCGGGGCTTTTTATGCGAATATTGAATATGCAATGAGCCGTTTTTTTCCCTAGCCGTCCCCCTCCAATGCCCAATAACGAGGGCTCCTGCAGCATCGGATAGGACAAACCAATTAAGGTTTTTTGAATTTACTTATTTTTTGCATACAAATAAACTGGTTCTACTCCTACTCGTGGCATATTTTTTTATCAGTATGAAAAAAATTCACAATTCTTTGAATTATATTTACGATGATTGCTGTTGAAGCTATAGATCCTTATTGGTTTATTTTTTCAGAAAAGATGAGTGAAAAAAATAGTGAATCCTGGAGTATTGCTATTCGTTGAATGGACATCTTTTTATAAAAATATGAACAACTGCCTAAAACTCTATGAATGACTTAATCTCATCGTTACATAGAAGTTTTAAATCTACGAAACTTCTAAACAACTTTATATTTAAACTCACATATGTAGGAAAACGTTTTTAGAGCTATTTCCTGGGCCGGAGGAATTATGCCAAGTTAAAAGTCCAACCGGGAACAGGGATTTGAACTCATGATTACTTACTTATCCCGAAAATTCGCAGATCAGATTGCCGACAACCAGCAAGAA